AACAATGGAACTGGAACTTTACGTTTGCTGCAGTGCAATGTCACAACAGTGCCCGAGATTTGTGCTCTAAAGCTTGAAGTGATAGTGAATATCAGGCATCATGACGGCCATTTTAGGACGCAGTGGAGAGCAAGGAGTTGTGATTCAGCATACAAACTAGACCCAGCCTAATGTATATTCTGTAAGAAGGGTAAAAGGAAATATCATTACAACATTGAAAAAAAAATGTTTTTCTCAAACTCCCAGTGCAGACCGAGGGAGCGACACGTCTAAATCTAAATTCTAGATGCTAAAAAATCTCACACTAGCGAATCAATCTTCAAAAAATCTTGCATCTACTTGCATCGCGCATCATCTTTTTGCAGAAAATCTTCAGTCTTCGTAAACAATCTTCTTTCTATCTACTCAGCGTGCGAACAGCTAGGGGGCCTCATAGCCTAGTCAGTAAAGGCACGGTATTACCAAGCCGGAGGCGGCGGGTTCGATTCCCGGTCCGGTCGAGGGAATCTTTCGGGTTGGAAATTTTCTCGACTTCCCTGGGCATAGAGTATCATTGTGCTTGCCACACAATATACAAATTCATGCATTGGTATTGGCATCGAAAGCTCTCAATTAATAACTGTGGAAGTGCATTTAGAACACTAAGTTGAGAGCACGCAATAAGCTAATATGCGCTAAGCAATAAGCTTGAAATGCGAATAAGAAGAAGAAGAAGCGAACAGCTAGCCACAGCAAAACACAATCTTTCATGCATCGTAGTCACCCCCTCGGTACAGACAAGAAAAAATGTCATAAAACAAACTCATTTCCTATTATCCATGCACTTCTAGTACACTAACTAAAGCCTTACCGTCACAATTCGAACATCAATTATCCCAGCACCATCATTCGGAGCAGGAGTTGTAGTGCAGCGTCCAGTTGGGACACAGGTACAGGTTTGATTTGTGCTACTTGATCCATTCGTAAGAGGTATAGGTGAGAGGCCTTAAATTGATTAAAACAATAAAGTAGTTATTTTTGTGACATTTGAATGGTGTGACCACATTGTGGCAGTGATTGAAAAGTTCATGACAGCCCACTATTTTTCTCTTGCCGAACCTAATGAAATTTCACGAACTTTTCCAGCACTTAATTATGAGAATTTACCAGTTTGCAACGGAACAGCACCAGTTAAAATTCCAGTAATAATTCCTGAGCTCACATTTGTCGCTAACTGCCTTGTTAAATCTAATAACCAATCGAAAAAATCGCAAATAAAAATTAAAAAGCAACAATAAGCAGATAGAATATAATCATTAGCTAACTCACCGCCTCCCTGATCGGGTGGTTTTTTGTTATCCGGAAAACTGAATGTTTGAGCATTGGTCCAAATTTGAGGCCCATGTGAACCAATCGATAGCAACACTCCCAGAACAGAAAACGGTATATAGTGTTGCATGTTGCACCAAGTTTTGATCTACACTGAAGATAATATGCTGCACATGACAAGACTAATGCATTGCATGATATGTGCGTTTGAATTGAATGGCATGCAATTATTGAAATGAAAAATGCATCTCTATAGATGCCATCAAGCTGGAAAAGATTTTGACATGACCGAATGAATTAATTATCTAAGTTGCTGTGTAGGTGGTTTTAAACTGTTTTAAATAAAACTTCAAATTGCTGCTTAACCATCAACTCTCGATGGCATTTAACAGTATTCTTGGACTAATTATCGAAAAAAAATAGAGCTCCTGAATATGGTAAAAAGGGGAAATGGATGTAATGTCGGCCTAAATGCCCCTAATTTGGGCCCATACATAAATTCAGCAATCGACTAAATTTTCAATAGCGACCAAAAATATCCATTAGTACCGTCTCAATGACGCGTTCATTTAGATAAAATTGATAAAAAGTATATTTTTAGCGATGGGCCCAAATTAGATCCATAGGCCAACATTAGAGGCATTTCCCCTGTAAAATATTTTCATAACCACGATAGTGTTTCATTCCAACTTCAGAGAAAACAGTGGCACCGGTGGTGTAGTGGTAAGCGTGATAACCTCTCACCCCAGCAGGCCTGGGTTCAATCCCAGTCGGCGCCGCCAGGATGTTCTGAGGCAGAACATCTCTGATCACACCTTCCTTCGGAAAGGAAGTAAAACCGTTGGTCCCCTGTTGATGAGTTGATGGGTCGATAAGTAGGGTCCAGGTGTGGGAGCTGCCTCCCTGGCGTCGGTTCTCAGCACGGAAAACAAGATCGACGGAAAACAAATCAAGGTAACTACGGTTTTTGCCCAAATATTTAGTGGCATATTAAATATAGAACAGAAAAGTACATTTTCTCATTGCACACTGAACAATCTCAAACAATCACTACACAATCAAAGCTAAATAGGCTATTTTGAAACGTCTATTTTGATTTGATTTCAGTGCCACAAATGTTCCTCAAGAACAAGCAATAAAATAAATTTCGTGTGTACTATCTGCTTACCCGAGCAAAGTCTGAGATCAAATTGAAATCTAAATTTGATGTTGTGATTTCGCTGATATAATGATTACTCAGGTTGATGTCGTTTTGGTCGTTTTAACGGTTAAAATATTAAAATTGAGAGCAAACATATCTTCCTGTGACATCACATTGAAAACTATTTCTGCTGTCAGTGAGAGCAAACTGAAAACCAAATTTGCTATCTATTTTTCCTGTTGATTTTTTTTTTTTTTTTCCTTTGGTTTGTTTTTTCCGTCGATCTTGTTTTCCGTGCTGAGCACCAATGCTACCGACGTGCCAGGAAGGCAGCTCCCACACCTGGACCCTACCTATCGACCCATCAACTCATGAACCGGGGACCAACGGCTTCACTTCCCATCCGAAGGAAGGCGTGATCAGAGATGTTATGCCTCAGAACATCCCGGCGGCGCCGACTGGGATTGAACCCAGGCCTGCTGGGGTGAGAGGCAATCACGCTTACCACTACACCACCGGCGCCGTTGTTTTTCCTGTTGATAACAAAACAAGTATTCAATTTGATGTTATGCTAAGGCAATGAAAAAAAAAAAAACCCGTAACAACATATTTTTAAAGAGCAAATGTACAGCAAAATGAAATCTAAATTTGGTATCAAATTTGTCAATGTATAAACTGAAATCAAATTATGATTTCAGTTTGATGTTGATATCAAAACTTGATTTCAATTTGCTGTCATTTTGATGCTGGACTTTGCTCGGGTATCCCTCCCAGGTGGCAAGTTTCCCGAGCAAAGTCCAGCATCAAAATAACAGCAAATTGAAATCAAGTTTTGATGTCAACATCAAACTGAAATCATTTTATTTGATTTAAGTTTACGCAATTAACAAATTTGATACCAAATTTTGATTTTGCTGTACATTTGCTCTTCAAAAATATGCTGTTGCGGGTTTGTTTTCATTGCCTTAGCATAACTTCAAATTGAATACTTGTTTTGTTATCAACAGGAAAAATTGATAGCAGAAATAGTTTCCAATGTGATGTCACAGTAAGATTTTTAATTTTGATATTTTAACCGTTAAAATGACCAAAACGACTGTAAAAAACGAGAAATAAGATTTAAAAAATCATTAAATCGTCTGCAAGGTCAACTTATATCATTCATTGCGGTATTTGCTGCTGTGGATGGGTAATGCAACTAACACACATTAATAAACCAAAAAAAAAATTCAGGTATAATTCCGAAAAAAATGTATCTAAGCTTAATGTTTACATGCATCTGAATTTTATGATGCTATCAACTCTCCCCAACTTAATATTCTCCCTTACACGATGAAAATCTAGAATACTTTTTTTTTTGTTATAGTCACTTTAATACTTTTGTCATTCGTGACTTGTCCGAGGGTGAGATTTGAACTCGTGACTTTGGCGTGAGAGGTAAGGATGTTAACCACTACGCCGGGGTCGCCCCCATCTAGAATACTTCTCCAATACAAATTTCCTAAATTTTCCTCCGTTACTCGATAGTCCATTCGAAAACGAGTTTGAGATAGTTGACTGTATTACATCACTTTGCGGCCGACCGTGAGCGGTTAACGGTGTCACCGGTTGTGAGAGTTCGATTCCAATTGCGACCGTTGGAACTTTTTGTACAATAGAAATGTCCCTATTTAGGGTTTAGTCTATTTCACACTATATTATTGAAACTAAAATCACAAAATACTTTTCAACTCACAACGTTTACTACAAAGTGTAGTCCAGGCAAATACGACAAAACTACTGAAAATTATACTGCATATGCGAACGGTCTATATTGTACTTTCCAAACCAAAAAAATGCTTTCACAAAAACATTAACAAAACTTCCATTAACAAGTTTAAACCCACATAAAAACAAGGCAACACAAAGAGTACATAGGCATTGAATTATCATAGAAAAAACATTTCGCAAACACAAACGGCGAACATTGAATAAATATAATCTAACCATTCAACATACGAACAATGCCTTTGCGAAGAATAGGTAGTTGATCCACATGGCTGCCCACGTTGCGATTATTAATAATTATATACGTGACATATTCTCGGCAGTTGAATCCACAATAACAGCAGAGCCGATGCAAATCTAGTTGCGACTCCAATTTAAAGCATGAACTTGGAAGGATTTGCTTGAAAATACTTGGTTAACGTAAACCTAGAATGTTATGAAAACAATAATATTTGAAAGCAAGGAATCAAGGCGATTTATGGGGAGTAGACTGATGCAAATTTTGACATTTTCGCTCCACAGTACTCATACGGTTCCAAATCGGGTCCTGATTAGTCTCCCAAAATTTGAACTCATTCGATAAGAAACTGACTTGGCACAAACCATTTGAAGTTTATGTGGAAATTACTATAGGAAAACCAAATGTTTTGTTCATATCCATCTAACAATTTACCATATCGCTCTGCTTTGAAAAATGATAACTTAGCTCGTAGAAAATTTTCTCAGCTACAACTTTGTGCTTAACCACTTTTCAATATAAAGTAAGTTATCAATAATTCAAGCCACTAATGTCTTACGATTATGCTCAATCAACTGTTCAGCAGGCAACATTGGTGTTTCTGGTGCTTGGAATAGAGCACAAAAATCATGGCTACTATGTCACACTGCAAGATACAGTGTTGCTCACAAAACAGCTGCTTGAACATGCCATAAGATTATCAATCTCTTAAACAATTAATAACTATTTTATTTGACGTTTGGCTCAACAACTATATTCTGCTAAGTTGAAGCTGAGAAAATTTTCCATAAGTATAGCTTTTGAATTTTTGAACAGTGCAATATGGAAAAAGGTAAGAAGACAATGAACAAAAAGTTTTGATTTCCCATAGTAATTTCCATATAAACTTCAAATGGTTTGTGCCAAGTCAGTTTCTTTGCAAATGAGTTCAAATTTTGGGAGACTAATCAGGACCCGATTTGGAACCGTATGAGCACTGTGGAGCGAAAATGTCAAAATTTGCATCAGTCTAATGGGTAGGGTGAATGAAGCGGAAATAGAGAGTAATATGCCCAATATACACAAAATGTGACTAGTTAGAAAGTGAAAACTACCGATCGATCACTATTCTCGACCAACAATTGAAAAAGGCCTATCAGCCATTGTAAGCCCTATCCTCGCATAGCATATGCCGCTCACGCGAACTAACAGTATCATCGGGTAGAGGAAGCTTTCCCCTACACGATGATGCTATTGATTTGCGTGGGCGGCCTTCGGTTTGCGAGGAATGGACTTACAAAGTTTTGTTTACAAAAGCTTATAGGTCCTTTTCATTTGTTAGTTGAGTATACTCAATGCAGCCTATAGTGCTTTCCCGGATCACCACCCGTCGCCACTAGCAAGCAGATTTGCAAGAAGTTATCAAGTCAGGGCCACATTGCGCAGCTCGAAACGAATATTTATTTGTACTAACGCTTGTTTATTTATTTATTTAATTGGCGGCGAACCAGCCCAAGGCTGAAAGCCTCCCTAATAAAGATAAATAATAATAATTATTATTTATTTATTTATTTATTTAGGTATTTATTTATTTAGGGGAAATGGCTCTAACGTTGGCCTATGGATCTAAGATTTGGCCCATCGCTAAAAATCTGCTATTTATCAAATTTATCTAGTTTAACCATTGGGATGGTAATAATGGATATTTTTGGTAGCTTTTGAAAATTTATGGGCCCAAATTAGGGACATTTAGGCCGACATTACATCCATTTTCCCTATTGTCGTCAATCAGATGTAGACCATCGATTACATGAGGCGTGTTCCTCGGTTTTTACGTTTAGGTGCATACTAATATATTTTTTTCATGTTGTTCGTTAAGAAATTAAATCCAGGGCTGTTACAAGATTTACAAAATTTGATCAACGAAATCCACGATTTCTCAAAAGAAATCCGCTTTATATACTAATTCGCGACAAATAAAAAACTATTTTCATTCCTTAAAAATACCATTTGTTTCACTACTACATGGCATTTCAAGCATATTGCTTTTAGCATATTTGCTTTTTGCCTGTTCTCAAATTAGTGCTCTTTGAAGCACTTCCACATTTTAATTCAGAGCAACATCCTACGCCCATGGAATTCGAGAGATTTTCCAACCCGAAAAAAAAAATTGAACAGAACCGCCTCCAGCATAGACTTTCTTCGTAGCTGCGCCTTTACCGACTGACCTAGGGGAGTATCGTTTGTACCCTTGAGAAAAAAGAAAATTAAAGGGCTGTGTCTTAGACACAACCGCAGTATGACGTAGAACTATGCAAAAATGGTGTATGTCATGCATTTTTGACTATTATACTTTTTTTTTCTCAAGTAGGGTAAATGTTGGCTTCGGCACCCATTGACTGTTTTCGGCAACCAAAATTTAAGCGTTAATTTCACTATGTTTTCCCATCAACACACTTCCCTGAATGTATTCAAACGATTCTTTAGTCTTTCAGCTTCAATCTGTTTATATTTGTACGACCGAGCAATCCTATTATGCCAGATTTTTCTTCAAATGAAGTATACGCGCTACAAAATGGGGCTGATTTCGAGTTGCCGATAATAGAACAGCTGGTTAACACGCAGTTCTAATGGGAAGGTTGCCGAAGAAAAAGAGGCTGCCGACAATAGTCACACTCACCTGAGAAGTTTGGAGCGTTGTAAAATCGCTTTCAAACCGGTTTGAAAAATTCTGTCGATTGGAATGGATAGAGAAGCAAGCAGCAGATGAATGTTAACAAACAGACACTTGATATATGTGCGTAACGCTGACAAAACGCTAATAGAAGTGCGGACGCTGCTTAGATTGACGAGAATACGTAAATTCCCCTATTTCAATGTTATGGTTCAAATCTCGCGACAATTCATGTTAACACTCCGAATACGGTGGGTAAAAAACTTTACGCCGACTACGAAGCCTCCGAAAAACGTGTAACGGCAAGTTTGCAATGGCACAACTTAGCCATTTCTTAATGAATTTCAAAATTTTTGGTACCTTTAGAATTCCTTGGATTTGTAGATAATTTTTATTGTAAAAAGATTGAAAATAGAGTCGTCTACTTTTTTAAAAAGCGAAAAGAGTTGTTACACGTTTTTTTGAAAGGTGTGTTTGTACGGTTTTGCAAGAGGTGCAAGATCTGTAATTTAGATTAATGGGCACAAATGTTCACAATTAGCCAGAATACAGTCATGGTTCCTATATATGGATCCTGGAGATAACCGAACGGTCCTCGAAAAATCCGGAATATCCGTAAAAGTGGTCAATTCATGAACCTGATCCTAGAGCTCTGCGGTTTTTTTGAAAACATTAGGAACTGTGATATAAAAAAAATATTTAGAGTCGTGATATAAACATTTACCTGGATGGCTATGGGACCGTCCTCCGGAAGATCCAGAACATCCGTAAAAGTGGACAATCCATGAAACTGATCCTAGAGCTCCGCGTTTTTTTTTTAACATTAGGAACTGTGATAAAAGAATGAATTTGGGTCATGGACCCAGAAAGTCCAGCGGAAGATCCGGAACATCCGTAAAAGTAATAAATCCACGATCCTGATCCTAGAGCTCCGCGTTTTTTTATAAACATTAGGAACTGTGATGATAGAAAGAATTTGGCGTTGTGACATAAACATGAACCTGGATGTCCATGGGACCGTCCTCCGGAAAATCCGGAACATCCGTAAAAGTAATCAATCCATGAAACTGATACTGAGTTGTGGTGGACGCTCAGTATTTAGAACCAGGTTATGGGTTGATTTTGTTAAAATATTAATCAGCACTACCCATAGATGCCTGTTGCTGTGGATTTTCAGCAACACCTTGTTGTAGACGACTGGTACCTTTTCTCCCCCCGATGGCCTCTCGGAAACATGGAATAAAACCGGAACCACTTGGCCAATCTGTTCCAATTTTTAGTAGACCAAAATTTCGAACATTTTTCTACTCACTGTGAAAATTTCAACCAATTTCATGGTTAAACAAAAAAGTTATACCTATGCAAACATTGCTATTCGTATACCTGTTCGTAAAAACAAAAACTGCACAAGCGCGTTAGGCCCTCCCCAGAAGTAAAGCAGGTAGTGTTCGTTTGAAACGCTAATAACTTTTCGGAGGTAACTCGGATTCACATCCGGTCTTCAGCCAAGATGTTCCCAATACTTCAAAGGTGCTACATTTTGTACACGAAGAAAATCGACCCACTACAGCGCCACCTTGAGCCGCGAATGTGAAAGTGGCTCGCTCCCCCATACATTTTGTCGATTTTCCCCATACAAACTTCAAGCCGTTTGAGCGAGGGGTTCCCGTGAACCAAATGACTTCAAATTTTGGCAGCGTGTTTCTGACCCCCAAAACTACCATTCCAGAGGGTAGCGTTTGAAATTCCAGACTTTGACTTTTTTCCATATAACGCTGAAACACTCTAGTGTTGGTGTTAGATTAGATTAGATTAGACGGCCGAAAAACCGGAATTGAAAGTTTTATATATTTTAATTGAACACCTTTGGTGCGCGTTTAGGTTTTGTGATACTTAAGCTTTAGCCAATTTTATTAATATTTAAAACATAAAATAAATCAATGATTCGCCATTTATTCTGTCACAATTTAAAAATACAGTTCCTTCAAATCATACAAACTATCGTTATACCTAATGTCTTTTGCAATGAAAAATTATTTTTCCTCTACTATAAATCGTATTTCATTTACATTGTATCAAAATTTCCATCGGTTGTGTATACATTCTAGAGTTAATTTATAAACCTGAAATAACTCCTTTTATATCTTCAATCTCCTTTGATTAATAGTGCGTTTCTTAGTTAGCTGATAGGTACTTTCGATTGGTCTATTGTACAGGCTCCAGTAAGAATGTACTATTTGGGTTCGAGCTATTTTGTACTAATGCAATGTCTGAAATTGGACTGGTATTCCCTTTTCGTACGCTGTCTGAAAAATAACCAAATAATGAATTCCTGACTCTAGATATTGATGTAAGCATTACTATCATCAAAAAATTATGTTAACTATTGTCTTGCTGACCGTTCCGTTTCCAACAGGCATTCCCGAACCAATATCCTGGCATGAACAATTCCACGCTTCAGACGTTCTGCCGAGCTGCGACTGCCGGAATATGTGGGACGGATGTCGCGACCCATCTCCTCGATAACCATTAACAGTTGAGCATACTTGGACAGGTTCGAGTTGTTCGGGAAGTGGTTCAAATTGTTGACCGGGGTAACGAGCGCCGATGTGGGCACTGCGGCCGTCGCTGCCGCTGCTGCTGCCGCCGCTGTTGACAAATGTTGTGCCTGAAGCTGTTGTTGTTGGTGTAGCTGCTGCTGCTGCTGTTGGTGCTGCTGGTGATGATTTCCATAATTGTTGTTGGACATATTCATATGACCAGTCGAGGATATCTTGGAACCCATCGGAATTGGAGTTACGGTTACGTCGGTTAGCTTAGATTCAACGGCCTGTATATCAACATAATCCATTTTGTACGTGGAAAACTTTGTTTCCTCAGTTTGGCAAGAATTAATTATAGAAACACGGATAGCCACAAAAAGAAAGCAGAAACAATAGAAACAAATAATGATAAACAAATGAAGCTTTCTTTCTGTAAGCAGCTTGTCACACTTAAAATACATACAAGCATTTGCGTATATACGGCATGAACTGAGATAGTGCACGCTCTTTACTCCAACGGAGTTTTATGATTGTCGTCTGCATGAAAAAACTAACATTTTTTTTTTCTTTGTTTTTCTTACATAAAACTCCAAACAAAAACAAAAACGCTGTCATTAAATTTTAACGAATACACATCAGAATGACATTCACCAATCCGGTAAATTCAGTGTGCGTTGCATAAGCCCGGCGGGGAAAAATAATAGGACCTTTACGACCTTTACAAACCAGCACGGCGAATGAGAACGACTCAAATTTAAGTTTAGTTCACTCATAATCGCCAAAAGTGCAGGAACTCAGCGATGAGTTAATTTGCCTCATGTTTTTCCAGGTTTTTCCAGGATTTTCCAGGGAAAAATTCCTGAATTTGAGAAAAGTAAAGATTGGATTCACTCAGTCTATTGGTACTACTCCGAGACTGAATAAAATTTTCGTCAATTTCCTCATTTTCCGGCAGATTTTTTAGGTTTTCCACAGGAAACCATGAGACAAATTTTACTCATCGCTGAGTTCCTGCACTTTTGGCGATTATGAGTGAACTAAACTCAAATTTGAGTCGTTCTCATTCGCCGTGAGGATGACGCTTTCTAATAGAAATACTCAGAGGGAGAGATATGCGGAGAAAACAAAATACAATTCGCCAGCAGGGATTTGTTCCTAAATTTTCTTGCAACCCTTGCTAGAAGCTAGCATTTCAAATGACTTTTATTTTTGATTCGTGATACGTGCAAAATAATAATTGATTGCATTGCAATATTTTGCACATTTCTTGGTGCCATTTATTAACCAACGGAGATCAATTAATCAATAGAGTAAGAATATTGTTTTTGGTTCCAAAAACTAGTTGAATTTGAGAAGCACACAAAACATAAAGGTGATTGAATTTCTGTTCGATTGCAATACTCTCAAATTTATTCTAGTAAGAATAAGAAATCCTCGGAAAAAATCTAATTGGAATGTTCAATTGGCTCAGATTTTCACAGTTCATTTGGCTCAAAACATTCTCTCCACTCTATTTCTGCTTTCTAAGGCTGTGAACCATTTGCCGAGTTAAATTTAACTCGTGGTTAAAAGTGACATTTCGAAAGTTATTTTCTATGTTCGAAAATCCCCGTGCTGTCGATCGACCGGTTTTCGAGCCACGGTTGTCAAAATTTAACTTCTTGTCTGTCAGAAATAACCATGCTCGGATAGCAGGGTTAATCGATAACTTTTCATCTGTCAAATTTTAACCAAAAGTTAAAATAATCCACCAAATGGTTCAGAGCCTAATACCACAAACGAAGTGACAGACGGAGCGGCTCGAAAACTGTGGTGACTAACCTGCTATTTCAATTTTTCAGTGTACCACATGGCAACACCACTACCATAGAGGTAACTCTAAGACCACTGGGCCCCGAAGAAAATCATTATTATTTTTGGCTCACTCAGTACCAGAACAACGGTCCCAAGCAGTCCCAAACTATTTCACTCACCCCTGCATGTTCTGCATGAATCCACACACCCTGATGTTATCTGTCAAACTTTCATAGCGAATCAAAACAAACATAGTGTAGTACAGTGTTGGAAAAATCATTTTCAAAAAAAGTTCTATCACAGCTCGTTGCAGAGATAAATCCCAACGGAACTTCTCACAAAAAGTTCGCGAACGAGAGATGATAAAAAGTTCATGAAAGCGTAGAGCGAGAGAAATTTTCATTTCGTATCGCGAAAGATCTTTCGTCTCTCCATATCACATCAATTCACACGTACTCGTGATTCGAACCAACCAAATATCCCCTCAGCTTTGTTCTTTTTTTCCAGCGAGTAAAGGTAGGCGATGATCATGCGAGAGTGTCTGTTTGTTTTCTTCTCGTTCTCCGATATTTTTCGCATCCTTCACATTAAATACCATTTCCAGAGAACTTTGAGATTTGGGTGTAATTGCTTTTGTAAACAAACACGTCATTCAGCGATTTCTCACGAATCAAAGCACAATCTAGCGAACTATACTATTCCAAATGAATCATTCCTCTACCTGTCTGTGTTATTAGTTTTTTAGATTGAACTTTAATTCACGAGAAATCGGCGAATTAAGTGTGTGTTTACAAAAGAAATTACGCACTAATCTCAAAGTTTTCCGAATTTATTTATAGTTTTAGTTCTCAATGCAACCAGCTAATAATAGATACTTGTAACCAGTGCTGTAAATTTTCATATCATTCGATTGAAGATGAACCACTACATTCCTCGCCGATAGCTTGAAGTAGCCGGACGTAGTTTGTTCGTGTCTCCGTTGCGGGTATTAGTTTCGTAATCGGTGGAGTTTTTTTTTCCCACCATAGTGGTTTTTTTATATCGCGCGTTTTACCTACCGTGGACGAAGTTCAGTGCCCAAGGCAACCGCAGTCAGCAGAGGAAGTAGCCACCTTTAGCGACGCTATAGGTGGACTATCATCTCACCGTCATCACCTCATCACCACTCCAAAGCAGCAAGCAACAACAACAAAGCAGCAAACGGAGTGGCTGCACCAGCTTACACAGCCGGCACCGGCCGGTGTTAAGTATTCTATACAATAGTCTTCTCTAGCCCATTGCCGCGCTTTTGTTATTGAATTTTGCGCGTGGCTTTGCCCTCTCCCCTGATAGGGTTGTGAGGGCTATAGTGGTGCAACTTCTTGCAACTAATAAAAAGTTTTTTTTTTTTTTTTTGATAATTTTGTTATTGTTTTGTTTGGTTGTTCATACACTGGGCAACAAAATATTAACAACTAGTAGTTAAGTAGATTAATTGGTGAAGGTTTTTTGAAGTATTTTTTTCCTTTTTAAGCGGTTGTGCACCGCGTTTGCGCAACACTTATGGCGTCTTCAGATACCTACGTTGCGCGAACTAGATACTATCAACCGTCTTCGAAAGGACCATGGGTTGTCTTTTTTCGGCCTAAAAATAAACCTTTGAAAACTCTCGACATTTCGAGAGACTTGCTGCGTAAGTATCCGGGAATCTTGGTACATAAAGAGAGATTCAATAAACTGCGTGTAGAAGCACCGACTTATGATGTGGCAAATAAAATTGCTGAACATGAGCTGTTTAGTGTTGAGTACAACATCTACATCCCTTCTCGAGATGTGGAGATAGAAGGTGTGGTCTCCGACGCGAGTCTGAGTGTCGAGGATTTAAAACGAGCATCGGGTTGCTTCAAAAACTCGAAAATCGGTCAGCAGGTACAGATACTGGATGTCAGGCAACTGCATTCAGTATCTTTGCAAGATGGCAAGAAAGTTTATCAGCATTCAGACTCGTTTCGGGTGACTTTCGCTGGTTCAGTTCTCCCAAACTTTGTCAAAGTTGATGGTGCTTTTTTTCCGGTGCGGTTGTTTGTACAGAGGGTATATAATTGTACCAACTGCAAAAGGCTGGGACACTCAGCCAGCCATTGCGGCAACAAAACTCGTTGTGGCAAATGTGGTGAAAACCACAAAGAGGATTCTTGCCACAAAGAATCAGTAAAATGCGCTTATTGTGGCGAGAATCCTCACCCCTTGCAGGAGTGCCCGATGTACAAGCAGCACTCCGATAAAGTGCAGCGTTCAATCTCTGGACGCTCCAAGCAGTCATATGCACAAATGGTGAAGGCTGCATCAGCCGTCCAAGATGAAAATCAATTTTCGATTTTGTCAGCTGAAGAATCGGACTCTGACTCATCCGATGAGGGTGACTCTACGGTGGTACACGCACCTTTGAAAACGAACGGATCCTCAAAACGAAAATGCTCCTCCCCGAAAGTGCGCCGTAAGAAAGCTAAAGTCACTCCCAGAGGATTGCAAAATTCCCAGGGTAATGGGGATGAAAAAATTAAATCGAAGGCTCCTACTGCTCCACTTCCTGGCTGCAGTAAGGATTTTCCGCCATTACCCAACAAAGAAAAGAAAAACAAAAAAGCTGCTCCTCAAACTTCTCAAAAGAAATCCAAGTCCGAACGCGGTTTGCTAGCTTTTTCGGACATTGTGGAATTCATATTAAATATGTTCAACATACAAGACCCTCTTAGAAGCTTAGTTTCTGCCTTGCTTCCAACATTAGAATCATATCTTAAGCAATTGACTGTTTCATGGCCCCTCCTTGCATCAATCATATCTTTCGATGGATAATTCGTCGAACGAGGTTGAAGATATGATCACTGTGTTACAGTGGAACTGCCGTAGTCTAGTGCCTAAACTAGACTCGTTCAAATTTTTACTTCACAATTCTGATTGTGATATATTTGCTCTCTGTGAAACATGGCTTTCTTCCGATAAAGAACTCAACTTCCACGATTTTAACATTATTCGCCTGGATAGAGACGATTCTTATGGAGGAGTACTTTTAGGGATCAAAAAGTGCTACCCTTTCTACAAAATTTCCCTTCCTGCTCTATCAGGCGTCGAAATCGTCGCTTGTCAAATAAATGTGAAGAACAAAGATCTTTGCATAGCATCAGTATACGTTCCACCAAGAACCTCCATTAGCCGTAGTCAACTCTGGAATCTAGTTTCGATTCTTCCATCCCCAGTATTAATTCTGGGTGATATGAACTCCCATGGTACTGGGTGGGGCGATCTATATGACGACAATAGAGCGGCTATTTTTTACGATTTATGTGACGATTTCAATTTGACTATTTTGAATACTGGTGAAGCGACACGTATAGCAAAACCTCCGGCTCGAGAAAGCCGACTCGACCTATCTTTGTGTTCAAGATCGCTATCATTGGATTGTCAGTGGAAGGTTATCAATGATCCCCATGGTAGCGATCATTTGCCAATCATCATTTCAATAAAGTGTGGCCCTCACTCTGCAGAACCATCTCGGGTTCCATTTGATCTTACAAGGAACATCGACTGGCAGAAATATGCAACGGCGGTGACAATCGGTGTCGAATCAAGAGATGCGCTTCCACCATTGGAAGAATATCGATTCCTAGCCGATTTGATTTACAAAAGCTCACTGGAAGCACAAAAAAG